TCTCTCTCTCTCTCTCTCTCTCTCTCTCTCTCTCTCCTCTCTTCTCCTCTCTCTCTCCTTCTCTCTCTCTCTCATCTCTCCTCTCTTTCTCTCTCTCTCTCTCTCTCTCTCTCTCTCTCTCATCTCTCTCTCTCTCTCTCTCTCTCTCTCTCTTCCTCTCTCTCTCTCTCTCTTATCCCTCTCTCTCTCTCTCTATCCCTCTCTCTCTCTCTCTATCCTCTCCTCTCTCTCTATCCCTCTCTCTCTTCTATCCCTCCCTCTCTTCTCCTATCCCTCCCTTCTCTCTATCCCTCCCTCTTCTCTATCCCTCCCTCTCTCTCTATCCCTCCCCCTCTCTCTCTATCCCCTCCCTCTCTCTATCCCTCCCCCTCTCTCTTTCCCTCTCCCTCTCCCTCTCTTCTCTTGCTCCTCTATTTTTCTTATTTCCCCCTCCCTCCTCTCTCTCTCTTTCTTTATTAATTATCCAGTCAGCAGGGAATCAGGTTGTTGAATACATGCAAAAGTTGTCCTGCAATGACGTGAATATGCCAGTGGGTGGAGTGATTCACACAGGCATGCTGAATGAACGTGGTGGCTATGAAAATGATTGTCTTCTTATAAGGAGAGCAGATAACAGGCAAGTTGATTTGTATTAGTATGAGAAACACTAAAGGAAATTCAGAGTAGTGTAGACTTGAAATGAATTAGTATGGGTAATGTAGAAAAGCCTTATTATGAGGCTATATAAGTTTTGCTGATGGGAAATAATAGCAATGACTGGCAATATATTTTATGAGATGCAGATATGAGCAGATATGCCTATTCTGAAATATTGGATTCATTTAGTAGTTTTTTTTAATGTGTGCAAGTAGTTCACAAGAATTAGACAATAACTAATAGTATTTACTAAATGTATGCAAAAAGGCTTGAGGGCTATTGCAACTTTTAATGGAAATATTATGATTTGTTCAGATGACTTCTAACCTTTATTTTTAGAAAGGATCCATAGAATTAGAATGGTTTGAATATGATTGAAAGCATATATGGAAAGATTAATTTGATGTTCCAAATTTCCTTGTATTTTCTTATAGTAAGTAATACCTTTGCTTTTCCTAATATATTTTATTCTGATTTATATTGTTGAATGGTTTATTGAAATATGAAATGGAAAACTTGTACCAAAACCACAAATATGTATTGGTTGCAAGAATCTAACAAGAGCAAAAGAAGATAAATTACTCGGGTCAATCACTAGACAAGACCAAATAGGATTAATGATTAAATCTTTGGACAAATCTGTTTGATATGGTTTGTTGTGGTTGAACTAGTGGCAATCAAATAGTGCATTGCTGTTCTCACCAGAATGGAGCATAGTAGACTCAGGCAGTTTGTGCTTGTACCTGTGAGTTATTACTTATCAAGTGTACTCAAGAGGTAAGTACATAGAGATTGAAGTAATGTCTGAGCATTTTATTCATAGTATCATTTTACACAAAATTTCAAAACCCTGTTATCATTTTCACAGAGGTGAAGAGAAGACCAATTTGGTTACCAATAACACTTCTGTTTTGGGTTTGTGAGATCGCTTGTCTAGGATACACAAAAGGTTCAGCTATCCAGAAGGGTCACACAAATATGCTGTCATTCATTTTTTAACATACTTAAGAATAATGAAGCTATAACTTGTAACCATAAACACAATATTCGTCATTCTTTATATACTGATTTTCATTGTTCTAGGTACTTGATGTTAGCACCAACAACCCAGCAAACTCGTATTATGGATTGGATGAGAAGACAGATTACTGCAGAAGCTTGTGTTTCAGTGTCAGATATAACATCCATGTATACAGTACTTTGTGTTGTTGGGCCAAAGTCAAAGGAAATGTTGTCACTTATGTGCAACACAGACCTCAACTTTTATGGCCACATGGCTAAGGTAAGTGCTGGAGGGATAGGAAAGTGGGGCAGACCTCATACATTTCCACATGATATATTTCAAAATTGCAATAGAGATTTGTAATGTCAAGTCATTCATATACAAATTATTATTTTTTTATTACAGGAAATTAATATTGCCTATGCATCTGGAGTGATAGTTTTGTCATTTACTCAAGTTGGAGAACCGGGATATACGTTGCTCATTCCATCAGAGTACACTCTTCATATATACAGTCAATTGATGAAGGTAAGGCATGCATTAATCCCTCATTTTGAATAAGGCTAATGATACAATTCTTTAACATGTGTTTAGTCTTAAATAATGATTATTTTCTGTTGGGTAAATATTTATATTGCTGATTGGATTAGAATGGGAATGCTCTGATCCATATGGTTTGTATTGTAAAAAAAAAGAAAAAATTAACAATGTTTTACGTTATTTATTCTGTTACAATATATGTTACATAATATTGTTAGCAATAGGAATGTTATTTTTATCTTGCTAATATTTTCATGTTTCTTATACTTTGGCAGTAGCATAAGGAGATGAAATCTTCTTCCTTACTGACTCAGAAGTTATATTCCAGTTCAAAGTGACATGAAATATATATCTTAAAGCAAAGTATGGTGTAGCCTTTGCTTTCTCTTTAACTATTGTATTCAATCTTTTTATTTTTATTTTTCCTTATGTACAGATTGGCCATGATTATGGAATCCGAAATGTAGGTATGATGACAATGAGAGCATTACGAGTTGAGAAATTCATTCCTTTCTGGGCTGAGGAACTAGATTCTACAGTAACCCCATATGAAGCTGGACGTGGATACAAGGTCAAGCTAAATGTAAGCTAATGTATATATATTTTTTAAATTCTCCTTTTTGCTTCCTGTAAATAAAATAACAAACTGTCTGGTAAGCCATTGATTAAATATGTTATTATTCTTGCAGAAAGAATATTTTATTGGCAAATTTGCCCTAATGAGGCAAGCAAATCAGGGCATATCCAGACGTTTAGTTCACTTCACATTGGAAGACACCTTTGATCCTGATGAGGACACCTGGCCATGGGGAGGTGAACCTATCTATCGCAATAACATCTATGTGGGGAACACAACATCTACTGCGTATGTATGCATAAATAATGTTTGATTATGAAAAAAAGGTAATTTATTCTAAGATTTTTTTTTCTTCTTCTTTTTCTCAGAAATCATTAAATTACCCTTTCACAATTTTTTGCTTGTCAAGTGACATACCATCTTAACAGAATTTTTGATGATGCTAGACATCTTAGGTCATATAGCATTATAGGAGGGGTGAAGGGTGATAGTTGCTATGCGTCAACTATCTAGAGTAGTCTTGAAAGGTTAAAGATAGGTAAAGGAGTTGATGCGAGAATGGGCTATGGTGGGTCTAGGTAAGGGAATTACTTAAGGGTTTCACGTGTGTATCCAGGAGGGAGTGGAAATGATAGAGGGGATGGAGGGAGAGAGAATGTACGTGTAGTTGGAGTTGAGAGGGGTGGGTTATGTTGGGAGAGAGGTTAAGGAAGTGGTGTAGGGGTATGACTAGTAGGAGGATGAGTGTCAGGAGGATGGATATTGGAAGTAGTTGGAGTTAAGGGGGATGGGTTGTATTGGGAGGGAGTAGGGGGGATATGAGTAGGAGGAGGATGGATATCGGCAGTCACTCTGAGTGTGGAGGGAGCATGAGTTGAGGAAATCTATCTCTCAAGCATATAGCTTTGAATATCTTCTATGGTTTCTCCAGTGGATTTGGTTGGAGAGCCTTGTGAGACAAAGGTTTTCTTATGAGGAGGGGAAGAGGAGACTGGTTGTATGAGGAATAAAGGTAAAGGTAGGTGAAGGTGAGTATGTGGTAGGAGAAGAAGGGGTGGAAAGTTTTGTCTGTCTGCTGCGGATAATGCGGGGAGGAAGAGGGGACGGTGTTGGGGCTGTAGTTGAGATTAGAGCTGTAGTTGAGATTGTAGTGTCTGCATTTAGCGTGGTAAAAGAATTTGACTGGGGAAGGTAGGAGTTAGAAGTGGAAGTGGGAAAGAAAGTAGGTACAGGGGAGGCTGTAGGAATATCCTGGGTTGGAGGGGTAGGGGCAGAGCGAGCAACATTACTAGTGTAGGGAGTATGAGAGAAACCTAGTCGGCATGCTTCCTGTCTGGCTTCACGCAAAGTGAGACCATTTTTGTATGTAAGAGTTGTTACCTCAGACTCAAATTTGGAAGTGGGACTGCCTCTATAAAATACATTATGGGGGCCACCACAGTTAACACGTGTGTTTGTGCAGGGCTGTTTGATCGGTTATGACAGGGTTGGGCACATAGAAGGCATTGGTCTGTGGAACGGCAGTGTTTGGCAGGATGTCCAAAGCGCCAGCAGTTTTGACATTGACAGGGAGGAGGTTGGTATGGTCGAACAGGGAGGGATTGTCCACCAATGTAGATTTGAAAGGGAAGGTCATGTGTACAGAAAGTAATTTTGGCAATGTTGGTGGGTTTCTTTTGATGATCTCAAGGAGGAATGGAGTAGCATTGTACTGATATCACATCACGATCTTTGAGGCAACTAAGTACTCTTTACAATCTGACCAATCGATATCCATAGGGCAGCTTGCTGGGGAGATAGAGACAGATCCAATACAAGTGTTAAAAGTTGGATGAGGTTCTGCAGGAATGGGGTTGCCAGAGAAATCAGTTAGATTTGATAATGCTATAGCTTCAGTTTCATATGTAACTGTAACTAGATGGGAACGATTGTGTCAGGTATGGAAAGTGACTCTGCCCACTTGCTCTTGGAGACATTGTTGAAAGAGGAGAATGTTGCCCGAGTAAGGAGCTGTAGGGGGATCACAAAAAATCGGTCCCATTTGGCTGGGCTAAATAGAGTATTCAAGAAATTGGTAGAGTTGTGGGTGGTAGAAGGACGGGGATTTATGGAAGAGGGAGTACTGTTGAGGGGGTAGTATAAAGGAGAGATGGAGAATAAGGCTGTAAGGTAGTAATAAGGGAAGATGAGGTGATTGGTGAAGAAGGCTGTAGGGGTAGAGTTGATGAAGTTAAGGAAGTTAGGAGAGTAGGAGTCTCGACTTGGGTGGATAATGCACTAGTAGGCACTGAAGAGTGGGTAGTAGTTGTAGTGTTCAGAGTCATGGTCAAAGGAGAGCCTGGGGTCGGGGAACCAGGAGAGTTTGAATTGGTGGGGTTATTTTATGAAGGGTTCAGCCTCATTGTCTCTAATATGGGTATTACTTTTTCATTACTAGCCATGGGAAGCCTTGGCTATGTTGGAGAAATAAACAGTCCACCCCTCAGGGTCCCCTTGAGGGGTAAGGGCTAAACAACAAAACAGGGGAATACTGTGCCCATGGTTCCTTCAGGCCATTCAGGACTGGCAGAAAGTCTGCCTTTCATCCTTGGAGCACGGCTCTTACACCTTAGGAAGTAGATAGTAGAAGGGGTTGGAGAAGGGACGGAAACAAAAGAGCTGGAGGGAGAAAAGACCTTGCAAAATTAGTTTTGAGTTCAGGGCTGATGCTCTAGGCAGAGGAGATCCCTGTATTGGGTCTCAGTCTCTGTCTCCTAAGCCCCCCCATGACAACAACGGGCAAGGGATTGGGGAGGAATAAAGGAATTAAGATGGTTAGAAACCATCCTGTCTTTCTCTCCTCCCATTCCTCCCAATTCCCATGGTTCTTGTTTATAGCATCTCTCTCCTCCTTCCACCCTCACTCTTTATGTTTTTATATGTTTTGTCAGTACATCTTGGCAGCAGTGGCAGCACTTGCTTGTTATTGGCTAGAGTAAATATGAATAATTGTTGGCAAAGTTTAAAATAATCTTGATAAAAATTGCCTTGGATTCCAGTGCTTCTTTTTTATTTGTAAACTATGCTCTCTCTCTTTTCCTCTCTCAATCCTTCTTCATTTCCACATACTTATATATAAATAAATGAAAGAATCAAAACTAATTCATTTTGGTATTTACAGATTTGGATTCACTTTAAACAAGATGGTGTGTCTGGGTTGGGTAAAGCACCCAGATGGAAGAGTGATGTCTCCAGATTACATCCTTGGTACTTCCAGGTTTGAAATAGATATTGCAGGGCGAAGGGTAGCTGCAAGGGCTTCACTGCAACCTCCCAAAATGCCGGTTGTGAAGAAAGATGGCTTTGCTTCTTATAGACCAAAGTCGAGGGGAATTGTTGCATAGAAAGTTAAAATGGAGTTGCAAGCAAATATACCTGTTAAATCATAAAATTGTGTACATACTGTACGGATCCCTTCCATTTCCAATAAAATTTACATTTATTGTGTTTGTTGATTTTTTCCTTTAGACTTAAGGGAACTGATGGAAACAGATGAGTGTAGTAGTACTTGGATGAAGAGTAACTCTTGAGGGGAAGGAAACTCAAGTACTGAATAAAAATGTTAATCTTATATACAGTACTATCAGAATATAAATCGTTGCTGAACACATTTGAATAAAATGTGAATCTTCTGAAATTAGCGCTCTTTATGGTGTTATCTCATGGCATTCAAAATCCCAGAGATTGGTTGTTAGGCACACATATTAGAACATCATGCAATGTTCTGTCACAAGGCAAGTCTACCTCTTATTTGGTATTCTGAACTGTCTGGACATAGAGATTTCCACCATAACCAAAATAGCAGTCTATCATAGGGTTCTTTAAGTAAGCTTTTTATAAAAGGTCTTTGATGTGCTTCATGTTAATGAGGAAGTGTTTCTCCATTATCCAAAATATCACTTGTAATAAAATTCCCTTTCATTGATTTCGTAAAAGAGTCTGAACCCACCCCAAACCAGTTTACGAAATTTAAGGTACCAAAGATGGTGCTACTTGGTTTTCCACTAGGGTTTGACATGGAGGTGATAATGTCTCTCCCTCAAGTGGTGGAGGCTTCCTGACTGTGCAAAGGGAAGTCTCCAACCAGGCAAGTCCTGGTCACCCTCAAGGGAGCCCCAATCCCCACCCTTGATCTGGGTAACTGGGGCTTGTATAGGCTCAGGATATATGTGCCAGAGCCCTTGAGGTGTTTCACGTACCAAAAATTTAGGCACCACTAGGCCAACTGCAAGGCCAAAGCCAAATGTGGTGTGTGCAGCAAGACACATGAAACAGAAGTGTGTATCAAGGCACACAAAGATGGCCAGGACACAATTGCCAAGTGTCTAAACTGTGCCAAGAGGCATCATGCCTGGAGCCTGGCTTGCTCTTGTCACGAAACAGGCAGTCCTCAAAAAGTAGCAGCAAACCAAAAAGCATCCTGATTTCATCCCAGCGCCCCCAGGCACCTATGTCTGAGGACTGAAAAAAGGGAACAGACTCCCCAACCTCCTAAGGGGAAGGAGACACCTCCCCATCCAAAGCTGGATATCTCCAATCCAGAGAAATTCCCCAGGCTTGCTAGTAGTAAGAAAAAGAACCTAAAAAAAAACTTCAAAGTCCACAGTAAAGGCCGCCCCAGCAGAGGATTACCTTTTCTTTGACGAAAAGGATATGACTCTCCTGTTGAGGGCTGTATCAATCAACAGGGGCTTCTGAAGCTGGAGACGAGTATGATGTAAGTGACTCTTGAGTAACCATCATGGCACACAATCTAAGCATTCTACAGTGGAATAACTGTAGCTATAATGGAAAAAACTCCTTTCTCCAGTCAATAGTGCGAGTAAGGAGCATTGACGTCGGCATGATCCAGGAGACACTATCTATGGGATCCGTTCGCTTCTCAGGCTATCATGTCTTCACTCCAAACCTGGATGTGGAGATGGTGTGGAATCTCTTACTGTTAATATTCATCTGCCTGGAGGTCCTCTGAAAATATATAATGTATATAGCAAACGACTGTGTGAGAGCTTAGATTTAAACCAGGTCTATGCTACTGCAGCACAAGACCGAGTGATCATAGGGGTAGACTGCACATCTATCCATGCTGAATCCCCGCAAGAGGCCGAACGCCTCTTGATACATTCCCAGAGATCACTCTTCTCAACACCCAAGAACCAACCCATGTGAAGGGAGGGGTCCTGGACCTTACCTTTGCCACTGCAACAATGGTGGAGAGAATTCGGTGGTGTGTCGATGATACGGTTACAAGTGATCACTATGGCATAGTCACTACCCTCATGGATGCCGGTCCAGCTCAAAGACCACATCACATTCCTAAATGGAAAACGGTCTAGGCCAACTGGTTAGCCTTCCAGAAAGGCTTGGCCCGCTGTCTGAAAGACGATGAACCCCACAGCAATGAATATGTGGATGTGCTAGAGGCATGGCCAATCGAGGCCATAAATCAGGCCACATCACAAACCATCCCCCAAAACTCGTCCCTGGTCCAGAACTCACAAAGACGCCTGGTACTATGGTGCAGAAAAAAACTTCTGACGACAAAGAACTCCCGACAACCTAGCCCTCTCGAGGGAAGCTGTTGCGGATGCCAAGGAAACTGCCAACAGAGTAAGGCAGGAAAAGTGGTTGGAATGGAGCCAGACTTTTGGCCACCAGACCAGCCTTACAGAGTTGTGGAAACGGGTCAGGCAAGCGACAAGCCGCCAAGCCCCGAAATGCACGCATCATGACCCATAAGTCAGAAGCTCACAGGCTGGTGCTCGAGTTCTCAGCCAGAACCAGCAGCAACAACCTGCCTCCAGTGCTGGTAAACAGCAAAACCTAAATCCAAGCAGGCTTGCTCTCATCAGAGACAAGGCACTCGAACCTGGTGACTCGGATGCCTTGTTTTCTCTCAGGGAACTATGAAATTCATACAAAACCAGCTCTGGATCAGCGCCGGGATCTGATGGGATTTCCCACTCCATCGTTTCCCACTTAGGTCTTGCAGGAGAGCTTGCATTCTTGCAGCTCATCAACAAGTCCTGGCAAACTGCCACACTGCCCCCGAGCTGGAAATAATCCATAATAGTTCCCATCCCAAAACCAAAGGAGCCAGGCAAGTACCATCCCATCTCTTTCCTCAGCTGCCTGGGAAAAACAGCTAAGATGGTACTTAACAGGCTCCGATAGAAAATAGGACCCCCTCATGAACACCTGCACGGGTTCACAAGGGGTAAGAGCACTGCACATAGCATTTCCACACTCCTAAGCTGAATATGCACCTCACCCTCTGTGGTTGTCTTCCTAGACTTGGAGAAGGCTTTTGACTGGCAAGCCCCCTTGCCATTCAGGAGACCCTAATCCACAAGGGAGTCAAAGGCAGACTCTTGGCCTGGATAGTTGACCATTTTAAAAGTAGATCAGCAAATGTCAGATTTCAAGGCCACCTCTCGCAGCACATGCCACTTGAGAAGGGAATGCCCCAAGGTGGGGTTCTCGGTCCTACCATTTTTAACACCCTCATGTCCAACATACTCAACATTCGTCTGCCAGTGGGATGCAAGATCTGGCAATCATAGCCTCTGGCAACCACTGCCTAACTAAAGCTCAGCGTTGTCTGAATCTGGTGTATGAAGAATGTTGTAGGACGGGTCTAAAAATATCGGCAGCAAAATCAAAAGCTGAGAACTAATGTCAAAAACAAAACAAAAAACTCACTGTTCAGGGCATGAATCTGAAATAGGTGAAGGACTACCTAAACCTTGGTGTATGGATAGGACACACATTCTCAAAAAGGAGATCCATTACCTGCTCGACTGAACCAAGGAAAGACTTATGACAGGGAGACATATAGGAGCGGGACACAAAGTACTACGATCATTCTATGTACAAGCTGTCCGTCCTATTATTGACTACGCTTCTGTCGCCCTCATTGCTTCCAGCACTACATTAAAAGAAAAACTGGAAACAATACAAAATAAAGCAGCCAGGATCATCCTGGGAGCTCCCAAATGGACAAACCTCCTCATGGAGGCTGATTTACCGTCCCTGGGCACCCGCATTGATCTAATGGCAGTACAGTTCCTTTCCAAGGTCTTGCAGGCACCCAGAAACTCATACTTAAAGCAAAGAGTACTCAGACGCCAACAGCAAGATTATCAGCTGTTTGCGGACAACTCTTGGCTCACACACATAGCCAGTGTGTGTGAGCTTCCGGCTAAAAGGATCACTGCTTGCCAAGGGCATGGACTCCCCAGGCCCTGACTATAATGAACCCCCGCCGTGGACAAACAAAATGATCGAATTCTCAGTCCAAAACCTATCAATGAGAAAAGATCAATATTCCATGCCTAGCCTAATGGCACAAGCACAAAGGGTCATTGCTCAAATAACTCCTCCGGGTAGCATAACCTACTACACGGACGGATCCATGAATCCCATAAACCACACTGCAGATTTTGCAATAAGGGATACCATAGTATCCATTAGGGTCACTGACAATGCCTCAACGCTCCAAGCTGAAACGGTTGCGATCATGGAAGCCCCGGCACACGCGTCCCTAAGGGCTGGACACGTTGCCATTCACAGACTAGAAAAACCATTGACAGTCTACAGCATAGCATGCTCCAAGACAATATCTACCTTCTGACATCTGTACTGACCATAGCCCAAACAATAATCGGTCAGGGTAGAAGAATTATCATAAACGGGGTCCCAAGCCATATTGGCTCGTATAACTTCGTATAATGTATGCTATACGAAGTTATTACGCCCATCCCCCATGATCGTTAAACCAAGCCGAAGGAGACTAAGCCAAAGTACCAAAGCTACAGCATGTGCAGTCTTCTTGGGAGCGCATAAAGAAAATGCCATAAATTCCCTTGCTGCCAATTCGTACTCAGATGCTACACTGGCCTTCCTCTAAATACACACAAAAAAAAAAGGTACCGAAGTCATACTCCACAGATTAAGACTAGGTTACCCATGCGCTTGGCAAATTATTGATGACGAGACTGCCAGGTTATGCAAACACTGCGGGGAGTCTAACGCCATCGTTACATTACTTGCAAAATTGTGAATACACAATTTCTAAGACAGGGACCACTTACCACAGCCGCCGGGCTGGGAAAAAGGGTATGCCACATGCTTACCCCATGGCAGCTGGATCGCTTGCTTGCAATTCAGCCACCACGATAACCATACAGTTCAAAGAAAACACACGAGTTAACAAGAAATAGTTGACACAGACCGGGCCACTCCAGAGAAAAGGCCCGGGCGAAGCATGACAGCAAATCTAACTGAACTGAACTGAGAGAGCAGTCTAGGGGTTTATGGAGCGAGGCGACTGTTGGCAGGAGAAACGAACAATGTGAAGATTAAAATTGGGGACCTTGTTTGTCAGGCATGTGAATGCGGATATCGGGAGAAGGAAAGATAATGTGCACTGCTGACTAGTCCA